GTGAGTGCCGGAAGATGCTTGTTTTGGATGTTGGGTTTTACTTTATTATCGTATCATTTTTATTACACTTTTATTATTATTGTTGTTGTTGTTCTTCTTACTCTCCTTCTTCTTCATCTTATTATTATCATTAACATAATCATCATCATCATCATCATCATCATCATCATCATCATCATCATCATCATCATCATCATCATCATCATCGTCGTCGTCGTCACCACCACCACCATGTGTGTGCATGAGCCCGTGTCCGTTTCAACCCGCGTCGCCATGCCAGACGGAGGAAAGAGTCAAGGCCCTCGCCCCCTGCACGCGACCCAGATTCCTCTCCTGTCCCTGGGAAGGAGGCAAGGTCAGCGCAGGACTCGGTGCATTTCCCATCAGCCGGGGAGGAGGGGAGGAGGAGGGTGAAGGGCCTGTGGGCTGAGGGGTGATGGGGGTGACGGAGGAGGGAAAGTGGGGAGGAAAGGGGGATGGGGGAATAGAAGGTAGGAGGGTAGGGGGATAGGAGGGGGATGGGAGGGACAGAGGGAAGGAAGGAGGGGTGAGGTGACGAAGGAAGAGGAGGGGGGGGGTGAGGTGACGAAGGAAGAGGAGGGGGGGGGTGAGGTGACGAAGGAAGAGGAGGGGGGGGGGGTGAGGTGACGAAGGAAGAGGAGGGGGAAGGGGTGAGGGGAAGGAAGGAGGACGGAAGGAGTGAGGGGGAAAGAGAGCCGGTATGAGACGGCAGTTTCAAGTCGCCTATTGCTGGAATATCTGTTACGTCATTGAAATGTGTTATGAAAAGAAGAAAAAAAGATAGATATCTCCTCCAAGTCTTTTATTTATTCGCTTGTTCATTTATTTATTTTTATATATTTCGCTTCATTTCATGCATTGTGTTTTTCCCTTTCCCTAGTCTTGTTACCTTGCTTTCCACTTTCTCTGCTTCTTTGTCTCTTCTTTTTCCTTCCTTCTTCCCCCTTTTTCTTTTATCTTACTCTGTTATCGTCTCTCTTTCCTTTTTTTATTACGAATTATTTATACGGAGGAACGAAAAACAACCGCTGAAGGCGTTCCTTTCAGCGGTTATGTTTTTCGTTCCTCCGTCGCCTCTCTCTCTCTCTCTCTCTCTCTCTCTCTCTCTCTCTCTCTCTCTCTCTCTCTCTCTCTCTCTCTCTCTCTCTCTCTCTCTCTCTCTCTCTCTCTCTCTCTCTCTCTCTCTTTCTCACTCTCTAACTCTATTGTTCACACACTCTCTCTTTCCTTTCATATTCCCATTCCCTTCCTCTGCTTTCTTATCTTCTCTTTTCTTTCTTCTTTCTTTCTTTTTTCTCTTTTCCATGATATGAGCCTCACCTTCTACTTCTACCTCCCTTCCTCCCTCCCTCTCACCCTCCCTCCCTCCCACCTATACTCTCACCCCCACCCCCACATTTTCCCCCCATTCCCTCCCTCCCTCCCTCCCTCCCACCTTCCCACCTTTTCTCCCTACCTCCCTCCCTCCCTCCCACCCTCCCTCCCTCCCTCCCTCCCTCCCTCCCTCCCTCCCTCCCTCCCTCCCTCCTACCTTCCCACCCTCCCTTCCTCCCTCCCTCCCTCCCTCCCTCCCTCCCTCCCTCCCTCCCTCCCACCCTCCCTCCCTCCCTCCCTCCCTCCCTCCCTCCCTCCCTCCTACCTTCCCACCCTCCCTTCCTCCCTCCCTTCCTCCTCCCTCCCTCCCTCCCTCCCTCCCTCCCTCCCTCAGCACCTATCACAGCACTTGGCTCTTAGATGTATTCTCCTACCAGCATGTAATACACGTTTTATGGTTTCGTGTTAACGGCTTCGCACATAAAGCAGCGTCGTAAAGGGGAGATTGGGTCATGTGCAGCCGGGAATGGGCGACCTCCTGTGCTTCTCAGCATCCTCGCCATCCTCAGCTTCATCTCGGAACGCAGATCTCCAGGATGCTTAGTTATTTGTTTAGAGGTGTTTAAGTTGCTTTTGGATTAGTACCCGTGTGGGTTTAGGTATGTGTATATACACACAAATACGCACACGTACTTACGAGCACGCATACGCGCGCGCACGCACACACTCACACACACACACACACACACACACACACACACACACACACACACACACACACACACACACACACACACACACACACACACACACACACGCAGGAATATATGTGTGTTTTCATTTAAAGGTGCTCCGATGACTGTTTCTATTTATCGTTAGTCTATGCTTTTTATGTCGATATATTTTTTGTAATGTTTTTTTTTCGTTTCTTCTTTGTCTTTTATTAATTCCTCCATATGCCATATTCCGTATCTTCAAATTATCAAATTTTAAAGTGTAGTGTACCTTATCCTCCTTTCAACTTTTAGTCATGTAGAGAAGGTGACGTCATAAAATATTTTAACTTTTTTTTTATGACAGCGACCACCCCGCCCTGACTGCATGTCCATCCGCACGGGTCGATTCATCCAATTTATCCGTTTCCTTCCCCGTAATTCGTGGCCAGTGATACGCCAAAAGTTTATTGAACGTTTTGCAAAGAGTTCAGCTGTTGTCGTTGCAGCTGCAGGGGACACAGCTGGCCTGCAACAATATCGGGGGCCATGGGCGTGCACACAGGGCCATAGCCACGCGGGCAGGGGCACGTGCGTGACGCCGGGCCAGTGACTCATTTGCGTTGCCAAGGTTGCTTCGTTTCACCTCTGTCGCTGTTTCTCGCCCTCCCTTCCTCCGCCTCTCTCTCTCTCTCTCTCTCTCTCTCTCTCTCTCTCTCTCTCTCTCTCTCTCTCTCTCTCTCTCTCTCTCTCTCTCTCTCTCTATCTATCTATCTATCTCTTTCTCTTTCTCTCTCTCTCTCTCTCTCTCTCTCTCTCTCTCTCTCTCTCTCTCTCTCTCTCTCTCTCTCTCTCTCTCTCTCTCTCTCTCTCTCTCTCTATCTATCTATCTCTCTCTCTCTCTATCTCTCTCTTCTCTCTCTCTCTCTCTCTCTCTCTCTCTCTCTCTCTCTCTCCTCTCTCTCTCTCTCTCTCTCTCTCTCTCTCTCTCTCTCTCTCTCTCTCTCTCTCTCTCTCTCTTACTCTTTCGCAAGAGGAGAGGGGGGAGGAAGGGGAGGAGGAGGATGAAAGGGGAAGAGGAGAAGGGAGGAGGAAAGGGAAGAAAAGAAGAAAAAAAACAAAAAAAGGAAAGAAAAAAGGTAGAAGAAGGCGAGGAGAAGAAGAGAAAGAGAAGAAGAAGAAGAGAGAGAGAAGAAGAAGAAGAGAGAGAGAGAGAGAGAGAGAGAGAGCGAGAGAGAGAGAGAGAGAGAGAGAGAGAGAGAGAGAGAGAGAGAGAGAGAGAGAGAGAGAGAGAGAGAGAGAGAGAGAGAGAGAGAGAGAGAGAGAGAAACAGAGAGACAGAGAGAGAGAGAGGGGGGGAGAGGCCGACCCGTGGCCAAGAGATCAGAGTATGAGGGAACGTGGGGAAATCCCTGGCAGAACCGAGGCAGGACGCGGCCACCTCCCCAACATCTGAAGGATATTTTAAGGATTGAAGATTCCTGGTTTGAAAAGCGATGCTCTTGTGTCGCATTTTCTCTCTTTCAACACATTACCTTTTCTTAGAATTATGCCATTCTATCTTGAAACTGAAGGATCATATATATATTTTTCTTTGAAGTTCATTGAATCGAAACGAATGTAGTTTAGATATGTGGAAATCCTATTACTGAGTGAGTGGTTAATAAAGAGTTAGCACTTCGTAATAAGTGGATGAGGCATGTTTGTAAGTTTTAAGTGATTGTAAGTAGAGACGCTTCGATGGAAAGCTGAGGAAGTGAGCGAGTTTGGGAGTCAAGGCGAGGGATGTTCGAACCTTCCCTTCTTTCTCTCATTTTTTTGTATGCCCTTTCTCGTTTTTCGTATTTTCTCCCGCTCTCATTTTTTTTTCATTTTTCCTTCTTATTTTTTTTATTTTGCTTTCTTCTTCGTCTTTTTTTCTTTCTTTCTTTTTCACTTTGTTATTATTTGTTGTTGTTATCATCATCATCATCATCATCATCATCATCATCATCAATATTCTCATCCTCTCCCCTTGCCCCGCCCTCTCCCTTCCCTTGCCCCGCCCTCTCCCTTCCCTTGCCCCGCCCTCTCCCTTCCCTTGCCCCGCCCTCTCCCTTCCCTTGCCCCGCCCTCTCCCTTCCCTTGCCCCTTCCCTTCCCTTCCCTTGCCCGCCCGCCCCCTACCCTTCCTTTGCCCCTTCCCTTCCCTTCGCTTGCCCCCTCCCTTCCCTTCCCTTGCCCCTTCCCTTCCCTTGCCCCTTCCCTTCCCTTGCCCCGCCCCTTCCCTTCCCTTGCCCCCTCCCTTCCCCTTCCCTTCCCTTGCCCCTTCCCTCCTTGCCCTTCCCTTCCCTTGCCCCGCCCCTTCCCTTCCCTTGCCCCCTCCCTTCCCTTCCCTTGCCCCTTCCCTTCCCTTGCCCCTTCCCTTCCCTTGCCCCGCCCCTTCCCTTCCCTTGCCCCGCCCCTTCCCTTCCCTTGCCCGCCCCCTCACTTCCAGATCTTGTGGGATGGCTGAGTCACCGGGCACTGTACCCATCTGCCCCCAACCCTCTCCTCGCCTCCTCTCTTTCTCATTTTCTCCTCCTTCACCTTCTTCTTCTTCTCTTTTTCCTTCTTCTCTTTCTCTTACTCTGATTCCTTTCCCTTCTCTTCCTCTTTCTTATTCTCTTTATTCTTCTCTTTCTCCTCCTACTTCTCTTTCTCATTCTCTGTATCCCTCTCCTTTTAATTTTCTTTTTTCTTCTTATTTTCTTTCTCTTTCTCCTTTTTCTTCAGTAGTGTATCCCCTTTCCTGTTCTTTCTCTTTCTCTCACTCTATTTCTTCTTTCCCCCGTATCACCTCTTTTTCTCCCCAAAATATTATCCTCTTCCCCTCTTTAGACTCCTTCGTCTCTCCTTCACACCGTCTTTTTGCTTCTCGGTCTGCGTCTTGTTCCCCCCTTTCGCTACCACTTTTCTCGTCTGTGCATTCTTC